GAAATTCTGCCAATTTGGTTCATATAAAAAATTTCACTCTGTATGAGGTTTTAGTAAACTGTGATATGGAATTTCTAAAGTTGATGAACAGGCAACCAAAATGAAGTATCTCAAATTTTCCTCACAATTTCATTGAATTTCTTAGAAAATGATTAATTTAAACTACACACGAAACTTGGGCAACAATAGTTATTTATTATACAAGGGAAAAAAGTAGTAGATTTTAGCTCCAGGTTGTGAGCTAAAATCTAATATTTTTCCCGTGTATAATACACTATTTTTTTCTGTGACAAAAGGAAGGACGAATCAATATTGGGAAGATATTACATTATTTCGAAATCTGAAAATTATCGACTTGAAATTTCAAGTTTTTAACAGTAGGGACACCTGCGTTTTATAGACATCTTCATCATTCTTTTGAAGTAATCAAATATCTGATGTCACTTCTGTCAGTTCAATTCTGTGATTTGATTTTAAAAAATTGCGAATTCAGTAGTTGTTTAGTAATATACGAAACCGCGAAGTCGAATGGAAGATAAAAAGACTTGCAGTTCTTTCTCGGAGACGGTAATATTGACTTATTTTTCGGAACTATAGCACAACAAAAGCCATTAACAGAGTATATATATGTGATATATATCCGGGAAAGAAGTACTCACTTTTTTCCCACGGGAAAAAAGTAATTTATGAAAAGTGACATTTTATAACCTGCCAACAGAGATGAAATGCCAAACTTTTTTCCCGTCACAGAAAAAATGTATTAATTTCAAAATTAATACTTCGCAATGCATGAATTTCATGAATAAAAGTAAGGGTAAAATCATTCCTGATTCTTGTTTGTCAACTCCGAACATTTCATGTCACAGTTTATTAAAATCATATACAGGGTGCATTTTTTGGTGACTATTACCATGCACCAAAAATTTTCTGAATCCAACCCTGGATATAGATGAATGTTGATTTTCAGTGAACTGAAGAATAGGAAATGATGTTATTCTTGCTTCTATTCGTGAAATTCTAGGGGTGCGAAGTATTCATTTTCAAATTAATACATTTGTTGCGAAAGTTTCACGTGTAGTGAAAATTGATCGTACTCTAAGAAATTCTGTGAAACTCTTAGGAAAATTTGAAATACTTAATTTTGGTTGCCAGTTCATCAACTTTGACAATTCCATATCACAGGTTACTAAAACCATATACAGGGTGTAATTTTTGGTGATTATTACTCTCTACTAAAAAATTACTGAATCCAACCCTGGAAATAGAAGAATGTTGATTATTGTTGAGCTGAAGAATTGAGAATGATATTATCCCTGCTTTCATTCGTGAAATTCATGCGTTGCGAAGTATTAATTTTCAAATTAATACATTTATTGCCCAAGTTTCGTGTGTAGTTTAAATTAATCATTTTTTAAGAAATTCAATGAAATTGTGAGGAAAATTTGAAATACTTCATTCCAGTTGCCTGTTCATCAACTTCAGAAATTCCATATTACAGTTTACTAAAACCTCATACAGGGTGAAATTTTTTATATGGACCAAATTGTCAGAATTTCTCAAGATCGGTCCTGGATTTTTACGATTCTGAATACGTCAGTTGATTGCTAAGTGACAGCATGATGATCCATGAGAAAATGAAAGAAATCGAAAGAACTGTTGGAAAGTTATGATTGAAAGAAGTTTTTGCCATATCTCATTAATCACCCTATAGATTATTTAAGAAGAGGCGGAGACACTTTCTGATGGTCATTTGGTATTCCCCTCAGATGCATCTATTCGTAGTAGAAGCATGTACAGTTCCTCATGACTCACCCTGTATATTAACAAAAAGCCGTAGGATAGGTCGATTTTTATTTCTGAAAATTCATTTTTTTACATTGAAATGTTCAATCATATGCCAACCTCCTACCCTACAGATCAACCCCTTTAAAATGTTCAAATTGTACGAGGGGTCAAGTTACACCTTGCTACAGAGGTAATTCTTTCTATACAACGGTCTATTATTTTCTAAGTTCGGTCAAGGCATTTCAGCAAGAAAGCAGTCGAAAGATTTGAAATTTATTGGAAATTTTGTAAAATTTTTTCGATAATGGTAGAGGTACTGTTTCATTGTATTGATTGTACAGTTGATTTACCCACATGTGAAACGGGTTTTTTGAATACTGAATGTCTGTCTTCGCATATACGTACGCAAAATCTGCACTAGTTATAAAGAAGTTTTCTTGTCTTAGAGAGCCTCAGTTTCAGTTTACCTATCATAGAATCAATGTCACAATGAGGAGAGTTGTTACTTACAGTTTGATTCCCGAATTTACGAAGAGCACTGAGTTATACACTAAATACTGAGCTAAACATGTACCCGCAACTATATCATTTCAACTGTATATTGTACCATCGAAAATCAATTTTCAGACGTTGATGTTCGATGATTGTACCCAGATCTACCTGTATATCTGTGTTCTGGTTTGATTGCAGACTCTCGAATTAACTTTACCAACCATTCACCTGAATATACAGTCATCAGCCCATTATCTGCGCTGAAGGTGAATTCTGACACCTCCACGACTGGTTATGAAATTATAGTGCCCTCAGCCGAGTTATCAGCAATTTTAATGTACCCACCTATTCCAGCCTATTCCCATGACTATATGTTGATAATTATTGATTGATTGTCTCCTGATATACTTTCCCCCAAGCGAGATCTCGCTAACATGTCGTAATTCACATCAGCATAGGTGATCAGTGCTATGTTAATCATATATCATAATATCATGTGCTTTTCCTTCTGGGACAAGAAACCTGGTTTGGAAATTTACTTCTCAATATTATAATGAATTCCTACTGAAAACTTAATAACAATGGTTTCATTGGCCCGACCCAGCAACTATCTATCAGAGAACCCAGCAGTCTGCTGTGTGCTACTACTTGGTTGTTACAAGGGGCAGTAGTAGTAGTGCACGCACATTAAAACTTTCTTGTTTTCACTTTCTTGGATCATTGACCTGTGATTTCATGCACTCATATAGTAGTTACAGTAAACTTACACAGAGTAATTCGATAGCTTGAAATAATTTTCTTTCTCTTGAAGTATCTAATGTGAAGACTATTTATTTTTGTAACGTTAAGTATAGCCCCCAGATAAGGTACAAAATGGCGAGTACTGTTTCATTGTTCATAGGCTAGACGAACATTTAGTATAAAAATCTTATTACAAATGACAGAAAATTAACTTATGAAATTTTGACGAAAATTACTACTTAACCCCTTGTGGCGTTGATCTGTAGGATAGTAGGTTGACAGGTCGTTAGAAATTTTAATATAAAAAAATAGATTTGTAAAAATAAAAATCAACCTGTCCGAGGATTTCACGAAATATATTTTTGCCATCTAGATACGGGTTTTATTCCATCATAGGTTTCCACATTGTATATATGTATATATAGATACATTCACCATGGTTCAGGTCATCGGATCATCATCTCCATGAGACAAGTCATGAATTTCAGAAAAATGAGATCATGGCTCTCTTGAAGAAATACTGGGAGAATTGAAGCGCACAACTGCTTCCGAATGAAGCGATCGTCTAGTACATCGATGAATCCAAACTCAGGTGCAAAACCAGAGCAGAAATAATAGGAGTATACATATATTGTGTTTTCAAAGCATTTTGGAGATTTTACGTACGAATCTGGTAGGTATATTTCAAAGAATGCGCCTCATCACGTCTAATAATCAAAAAATAGTTATTTTTGTATATAGAACGCGAAATGCTCCTTTGGTGATCGAGAACTCATTTTTTTAACGAGGCGTAGCCGAGTCAAGAAAATAGTCGAGATGACCAAAGTATTTCCCGCTCGAGTTGCAAACAACATTTTTTCTACAAACGTATAAAAATATAGTTCTAAAGTAAAAATATGCTTAGCTCGATATGAAAAATAGTGTTGAACTGGCTTAAAAGGCCTCCCGCTATCCTCCCTAGGCACGCACGATGTTCCACGAACATAATAGGAATTTCCTTTCGTGCGCGAGATAAAACAAAGTCATTATTGAACATTCAGGAATTGATTATTCTGTGGGTGTTTGCTCGTTTGAGGACCATAAAGTTGAAATATGAATATCTCATATATTTTACATAACAATGCGCGAAGTAGGTACTTCGCGCACTGTTTTACTTCGCGCATTGCTTTGTGCAAGGTATCATGTAACGTAGGAAACTGAAAAAAAAGTGTCAATTCGCAATTTGTGATCAATGCGCGAACCTTGTCATTTTTTGACTCTTGTAGAAAAAATATTTTTTTTGGATATTGTGGATTGTGAATATCGCGCATATCGTGTACCATATCAGAAATTACCTGTTCCTGATAAACACGTTGAACAAGCAAATCCAGAAAATTGTGGCTCGCGCAATTTCGCAATTTCTCTAAATCAAATCACAGAATTTGACTGATAGATATTTGATTACTTGAAAAAATGATAAAGATTCCTGCAAATTATGTCTGCACACAGGTGTTATTCATGTTGAAAGCTTCAAATTCCACATCGATAATTTCCTGATTTCAATATAATGTAACATATGGTCAATATTGATTTGTCTTTTTTCGTGTCACAGAAAAAAATTGTGTATTATACACAAAAAAATTAAATCAGATTTTGGCTCACGGTGTTTTGAACACAGCCTCGAACTGGAATCTACTGATTTTTTCCCTCGTATGATCAATAACTCTTATTACCTTGAAACCAGATGAATACAGTGATGAATATTGGACAGGTTGTAGCATAGGCTTCAAAATTGTTACAAGACCACTCAACTGTCCATTGAATCTTGTGTAGAGATGAGATTTTCCATTTCTGAAACAGAGAATGTTAATCAGAAGAAGAAAAATCGATTCAAAAAGATTCATTTACCCATAATTAAAAGAACAACACGAGCCATCAACGGTTAATGATTTACTGAATATATCAGAACAATTCCTGACATCCTTATTCCAAGAGCAAAATACCAACATGTCGTCGCAATTCTGGTTAAGCTTCTCCATTAAAATTGAAATGTTAGTATATTCGTTTCTCTCTAAAATTTCTTGAACTTCTTCTAGTTCTGTCATGTTGTAACTGATACTGTGAGGACTCGTGAAGGCTAGGAGTTGTGGCAAACCTTTTTTCAAACTCAATTTTTCAGATTCTTGTAAATTCCTGAAAATAATATAGAGTTAACCTCGTACATCCTACAAGACATGTTCTATAATATTACACAACATATTATGTAAATATATACGGACATGGTGTTTATGAAGGAATCGACTTTGGACACCAATATTCTATTGATGTTACACAAGGTAATTGCTGGAAATGATATAGATGTAGTGGGTGCATATGATGTTAGTATGGTAGTTCTTGTAGGGTTACTGACATATCTTTCCCAGAACAAAATTGTCATATAGGTTGCACAACATAGACCACAGATCACAACGGATATCCAAAAAATCCTGAAAATAATATATATGGAAGCACCATCAGCCTCTCAACATCGATATTGAGTGAACCACAGTAGTTCTCAATTACCTTTCCCAAGTATCAATTTCATTTTTAACTGTGTATTTCAATCCATGTATGCTGGTATTTTCCGCAAAATCTTTGTAAGTATTACACACTACTGGCAAGTATCCCTTTGATTTTTTCACTTCACTGTTCTTCAGTTTCATTGTCTCTTTATTTTATTATTACCAGACTGATATATCCATTGTGTATGTACAAAGTTTGAATGAACGTGTCTCGTATGTAAACGCCATGGTGATATTCATCGATTATTTGATCATATCATATTTTTGTTTCACATACAAACAACAGCAGGAGTCCACATGAATTATCATTATAGATCTACTATAGAGTGTAGTCCCTTCTGAACATTCTGGAAAAATATATGGTCTTCAAAATCTTCAAATATTTTATGTCTTCAAGGATGATAAGCATGCAGAGTGACCCCCATTTGAGATCAAAGCATCCTTATCGAAATCACATTCTCCGACCGATTCCGAAAATCAGAAAGGAAACAAAAATTACATCTGCGTGAATTTTGAAAGAATAACCATTCGTGTATTCAGGCCGCAGAGTAATAAATTACTGCTCCACACATAGAGAATTACTGCGCGACGAGGAGAGTTTCAACCAAATCGTCATACAGGCCTGTACTATTTTCTGCTTTTTGGGCTTATGAATGATTCAATTGAAAAACTGATTTGATCATCGTAAAGAAGAAGGTTGGGACTAGAGTCCGGTTATCATACGGAGTCGAAACTCATTCATTTATAGAAGATACAGATTTTTGAAAAACGTAAACATTGAAAAATTGTTGTCTCAAATTGAAATATTTTTGATTTCAGTACAAGTGTTGGAAATTCGGCGAGATGTCACAGAAATATCAGCCCCTGAAATGTTTCCATTTGGACAAAAAGCAACAATATTAATTTGTTTAACTAGGCAGCAAAGTAATAGATTGACTGCCGAGGCTGAATTCAGGAATCCAGCTAAGGCAGTCAATCTATTTTGCTGCCGAGTAGAACATATAATTTTTTCTCCGATTCTTCATAATGATATATATCTCTTTATTTTTTCTGTAGTGTTCAATTAAAATAAAATTTGATAGTAATCGCAGTTGTTGGAATGGTTGGTTGCTAAGTACCCACTTTGCTGCCTAGGCAGGAAAAGTAATACTTTGCTGATTGATATGTGTCAGCAAAATTAATATTTGCTGCCAATCGAAAAAAAAAAACGATTATTCTGCCAACAAGCTGATCTCGGTAAACTCCATTTTTCGAAAGAATATAATGCAGGAAACTAGGATGTGGTAGTTCAGGCACAACCTGATAGATGGCAGTGTTCGACATGACAATCCAATATGGCGGACGAGTTTTGTAATTATTGTCAGATTCCATTCAAAATTGGTATCTGGGGGGTTTTCGAGGTCAGGGATTATGGTTTATCATCAAAATTAGGAAATTCGAAATGGCGGATCCAATATATGGCGGACGAGTTTTGTAATTATGAACCAATTATATCCAAAATTGGTATCTGAGGGTTTTCGGGGTCGGAGATTATGGTTCGTTCTCCAAAATTTGGAAATTCGAAATGGCGGATCCAATACGGCGGATGAGTTTTGTAATTATGGTCAGATTCTATTCAAAATAGGTATCTGGAGGTTTAAGAGGTCGGAGATAATTATGAATCATTTGTCAAAATGGGGAAATTCAAAATGGTGGATCCAATATGACGGACGAGTTTTTCAATTATTATGATCAGATTCTATGCAAAATTGGTATAGGGGGGGTTTCGGAGTCGGAAATAATAATTCTTATATCAATATTTGGAAATCCAAGAAGGCAGATTCAATATGGCTGACGAGTTTTGTAACTTAATATATTCCAAATTTGTATATGGGGGATTTTGGGATGGGAGATTATGATTCTTGTTCAAAATAAGAAAATTGAAGATGGAGGATCCAATGGCAACTGAGTTTTGTAATTATGATCCGATTCTATTCAAAATTTGTATCTGGGTGTTTTCGTTGTCAAAGAAGAAATAGAAAACAAAATAATAAAAGTATGTTGATATTGATATTTAAATAAAAAAATATTTTCTAGAAATAATTGTATATAGCAAATCAACGTTTGCCGGGTATCAGCTATTATAATAAATATTAGTTTGAAAAACTAATGAAATACCTTTTTATAGATAGCCAAACTAAGAAGAAGTGAGTAGAAAATAAAGAGTAGTTTGAAAAAATGCAGAGGCATAAAGTACGAACTAAAAAGAAGTAGAAAATTAATAGAGTAGTTTGAAATACTAAAGAATGCCGCTTTTATTGATTAACGAACTAAAAAGAAGTAGAAATAAAATAATGAAAGTTTTCTGATAAATATTTACCTGAAAATATTTTTCTAGAAATAATGTTTATGGCAGAACAACGTTTGTCGGGTCAGCTGGTCATTTTATAAATATGTATGGGTCTGATGATTCGTTTTCAATACCATTCAATGATACAACAGGGTGTCAAACATATATTGAAAATATACATAATTAAAACCTTTTCAATCAATTGAAACCCAATTTATTCCATTCCTCTCATTAATTCCGATGACAAATCAGAAGAGTCTTGATATGGAGAAAAATAACTGGTATACCCCAGTTTTTGATGGTTCGGTAGTTTTGAATTTTTATATTGTCTCATGGATATGCAATAATAGTGATTTTTTGTTTTGACGATAAGCAGAAAAATAATATGAAAATCAAAGCTGTAGATATATATATATATATATAATGATAGTAAAGAAAATGCAAAATTGAAAAAAAAACAGTGGTGCACGTTTTTGACAAGAATATATTGGTCAAGGTGATTTCACTGGATTTTATAATTTTAATCTGGTCAGAGCTGCATTAGCCCCTAACTTGCCCCTAACCATTTCTGATTATAACTGTTCGAATAACGGCTCAAAATCAGTACTGAAAAATAATCATAGAAAAGTAGTCCTGAAAACTAGAACATACAAATTCATTAAAGATTTATACAATTCAATTCATGAGAACAATCATGTCAACATACATAGAAATTGAAAAGTCCACTCAATCTCATTGATACTCCAATAATTTGAGGAGAGTTGTCAATAATGTTATATATTCTTATTTTTTTGGCACAGTTGTGAAACCAACTCCGAACATCTCAGCTTATTCCACTCTAGAACTAATACAAAATCATCCGGTCTCAGAGTAGGGTTATCAGATTTTGGATCCATAGATGTGGCGTGAGGCCCCGGTACAGGACACCTCTTGTCAAAATATGTGACTAAAAGCAGCCATTAACTGCCATCCACCTCCCATGTTCCAGCGAAACGGTCCTTACTTAAATTATATCCGTTTGAAATAACCAATATTCTCTTCGTTCAAAAAACTGCATTCAGCATAGTCATATTAGCAATCTCGTCATGGATCGGACATGTCTATCTTGGAGTTGGAATAGGTATTTGTTGTTTGCATTGCTTGTTTTTATCAAATAATAATATCTTTTCTGCTGGTAATCTTCTACCATTCCTGTTTATATAACTGTTCAAACGGCCTAGAATTTGTCACTGAATTATATATAAGTAGACCTGAAAATTCAAATATACAAATTCAGCAGAATTTCTTCAATTCTATTCATGAGATCGATAATTATGTCAGCATAGATGGAAATGATAGGAAGGTTCACTTTTACTCCAATAATTTAAGGAGTTGTCAATGTTTTATTCTTATTCCATGGGCACAGTTGTGGAATAAACTCCAAAAAGGTTTGTTAATCTGTGTCAAAAGTCTCAGGTTATTTCACTCTAAAACTCATGCAAAAACATTCGTATCACAGTAAAGTTATCAGATTTTTTATATGGCGATATTCACAAAGGATAATACCGCCACGGCAACAAAACAAAACTGAGCGAGAAATCGTTATATGTCTCTCTTCCTCCCGCGGCGAACCGGTGGGATATTCTTAGTCACGTGGTGATTCCCCGTCTTTCCGCAGACCGCCACATGGCCACGTGCCAAAACCAGTGTTGCAAGCTGCTGCAAATGATATGTCGCAAAAATTCATAAGAATGGCAAAAAAGCGAGGTAACGGAAAAGTCAGCCACAGACGAAAAATTTGAAAATATAGCAACCGCTTTTCGAGACATTTGGAGACGTTATCGAACATCCAGTTCATGTTTTAGAGAATTATCGTAGGTAGATACTTCATATACCACTTACATCTCCTTTGGGAAAGATTTTTGAAATTCAATGAATGTCCTGATATTCGAATTTTCTTTGAAATATATATATATATATATACAGGGTTATTTATTCAAAATGGTCAATGTGTGAGCTAGAAATAGTAAACATCAGAATATCAAGATTCAGCCTCACATCTCACATCTCACATAGAAAATGCTGTTAGTTTTGAAGAAACAGGGTGTACAAGGAAAATATTTTATTTTAAAATTCCTCATACAATAACTTTGTGAGTTTTATATCAGCATGAAAATGGTCAATGTGTGAGCTAGAAATAGTAAACATCAGAAAATCAAGATGCAGCCTCACATCTCTCATTGAGAATATTGTTAGTTTTGGAGGAACAGGTTGTTCAAGAAAAATATTTCATTTCAAAATTCCTCATAGGTACAATAACTTTGTAAGTTTTATGTATCAGCATGAACATAGATTTCTTATATTTTTTCCATTATAATTCGATTTTCAAATGATTTAAAAAAAGTTGTCAATTAAAACACAATGGAATGTGAAATATAGGAAGCATATATGATGGCAAATCAATTCCTCACCGTTATGTCGAAGACCGAAACCAGGGAATCCTGGAAACTTTGGTACGATAATCACACTCACACTATACACTGTTTTATCACTATCGAACAGAATTCTTATCACCCCGACAAACTTCATTACCAAAAAACATTCGCTGTCTGACATAGATTAACAAAAACTTTTGAGATGGTGTTCGCTTGAATCTCCTGATTTTGACGAATGATTCAAAATCTCCGACACCTAAAACACTAGTAAAAACTTTGAATAGAATCGGATAATAAAATTAGAAAACTTGTCTGCCATATTGGATCTGCAATCCTGAATTTCCCAATTTTGACGATAGAATCATAATCTCCGACCCCAAACACCCTCATATATAAAT